ACGTCCCATGCGGACCAGAATGTGATTTCTCCGTCCCCTCGGGGCTTACGAACTACGAAACTGTCGTCACTTCCGTGTGCTCCCGAATGAGATCGCATATCGCAGGGCACTGGAACGTAACGCAGCGTACGGCGCTGATGGCGAAGTCTCATTCTGATTTGCGCATGGCATCATTCCGCTGGACGTCCCAGGAGCCACACCGTTAGCGGCCGTTTCAAATTTCACAGCTCCCGGTGACCGCGATGTCTCATTGTGATCCGCGTCGGACGTCACTCGGCTGGACCCCTCAGGAGCACACGAAAGTGGCGACGGTCTCAAAGTAGGCAGGACCGGAGAGGACGGCGAGGCTCCATTTTAATGTGCATAAAACGAACCTCCGCTGGACCCCCCAGTAGCCCAAGGAAGTTGCGACAGTTTCGCATTCCACATCCCCCAGGGACGTCAAGTCAAGCCAAGGCGAGGGGTCTATGGAGGCACCTTGCTCCGCAAGCGGAGCTGGAGGAAGTGAGACACTACGGCAACACAGCGCGTATTATTAAGTACAGTTGAAGGTTTGGCATCAGTAAAGTAATCGCGCCAGTATGCATCAGGCGCTCTTCATGAAATCGAGAAATTGCTTGTCCACACGCTGCCACGAAATAGGCTACTAGCTGCGAAAGCAACATGTCGCCATGTTCGTACCTTCCTTGCCGCAGAAAAGAATCGGCGTCAACTGTCCAGATTCGATGTGACCGTCCTCGACGTCTAACGCCAGCCAGACGCCTGCGTAAAACTAGCGCTGGCCCTTTTTGCGAGTCGTCGGTGGCGAGCCGCGCCACGAGTCTCCACATAGAACGGTCCAAGACGATGAGTCAGTGCGTACTAGGACCACACGAAAGGACAGCGGCGACAGTTTCACAGTTCGCAGGCCCAGGGTGGACGTCGATGTCTTATCCTGGCCCGCGTAGGACGTCACTACGCTGAACCCCCCAGGAACCCACGAACTTGGCGACAGTTCCGCAGTTTGCAAGCCCCGAGTGGACGGCGAGGTCTTATTCTGGCCCGCGTAGTGTAGGACGTCACTCCGCTGGACTCCCACACTCGAAAGTGGTGACAGTGTCGCAGTTCGCGCCCCAGAGGGGACGGCGAGGTCTGATGCTGGTATGCGTCGGACGTCACTCCGCTGGACACCCCAAGAGCCTACGCAAGCGGATTCGCAGGCTCCGAGGGGACGGCGAGTCTCACTCTTGTCCGCTTAGGAGCCCACTCCGCTGGACCGGATCCCCAAGAAACACACGGAAGTGACAACATTTTCACAATTCGCAGGCCCCAACGGGGGCGGCGAGTTTTCATTCAGGTCCGCCTAGGACGTCATTCCGTTGGGCCCTCCAGGGGCCCACGAACGTGGCAACGGTTTCGACGTTCGTAGGCCTTGAGTTTTCATCTTGGTCCGTGTAGGACGTCACTCCGCTGGACCCCCCCTTGGAGCCCACGCAAGCGGCGACAGTTTCATAGTTCGCAGGCCCCGAGTGGACGACGAGGTCTCACTCTGGTCCGCGCTGGACGGCACTCCGCTGGAACCCCCAGGAGAAGACAAAAGTGGCCGCAGTGTCGCAGTTCGCAGCCCACAGTGACGGCGAGGTCTCATTCTGATCTTCGGAGGTCGTCTCCACGCTGGACCTCCCAGATCCCAGAGGCACACAAACTTGGAGACAGGTTCGCAGTTCGCAGCCCCCAGGGGACGGCGAGGTCTCACGCTTGTCAGGGGAGGATGTCACTCTGCACGACCCCTCATGAGCCCACGAAAAGGACGACAGCGTCGCAGTTCTCAAGCCCTCAAAAGAACGACGAGGTTTCATTCTAATCCGCGTAGGACATCACTCCGCTGGACCCTCACAGTAACCCACGAAAGTGTCGACCATCATTTCACAGGTTGCAGGCAGTATAGAAGCGAGTAGGCAGGGGGGAGAAGGGAGAAGGGAAGGAGGGAGGAGGAAGGAGGAAGGAGGGGAGGGAAGATGGAGACCATAGTGCTCCTGTGGAAACGAGATCCCAGTCAAGGGAGCGTTTGGAACACATGGGCTCCGGACTGCCCTTGGGCCCTGCTCACGGCGCTCTTCGGCGGCCGAGCTGCCGCGGCGCCGTCGCTGGAGGGCCGAGCGGTGCCCCGAGGAGTACCAGCGGCAGGCCCACCGGCCCGCCCACATTGGGCTAGAAGCGCAGGGTTGTCTCCCTCCCCCCCCACCTCCTCCTCCTCCTCCTCCTCCTCCTCCACCTCCTCCACCTCCACCTGCTCCTCCTCTCCTCCTCTTCGTCATAGTCATCATCATTGTCATCATCATCGTCATCATCATCATCATCATCATCATCATCACCGTCAGCATCATCACCGTCAGCATCAGCATCAGCATCATCACCGTCATCACCGTCATCATCACCATTATCATCACCATCATCATCAGCATCATCATCATCACCATCATCATCATCAGCATCATCATCAGCATCAGCATCATCATCATCATCATCATCATCATCATCAGCATCATCATCATCGTCGTCATCATCAGCCGTAGCCGTTTTGGCTTAAGGTCGTTCTGGCCCAAGGTGATCAGCGCGATCTGGGACGCTCCGCTTCTCCTGCCCCAGGGCCCCCCGTCCCCTGCTCCCTCGGGCCTTGCCGCGCGTCGCGCTCTCCGGCCCTCCTTCCCCTCGGGCGCGATGGCTGGTTTCCCTGCCCTGCTGAGCCGCGGCGCCACGGCTCCGACGCCTGTTGCAGGGGCGGTAACCATTCCGATCGACCCCCAAGACTCTCCATTGTCGTTCCCGTTGCTGGCGCCAGAGATGAGCCCGCCCTCGCCCCCGGGTATTGAGGATTTGATGGTTTCGTCCATCAACTTGAGTGAGGAGATCTCGGGTCTCACACAGATAGTGAAGGACGTTTCCACCCAGACGGACTCGGAGCTCTCTTCCTGTCGTTCCCAGGTCCAGAATGTGCAATCGGATTTCGCGAAAATGCAGGGTGGGGTCAAAATCCTTCAGAAGACCACGAATGACTGGCTTCAGAAATTAAGCGTCTCCAGGATGAAGCAATTCACCAGGTGGCTCTCGAGCAGGTTGGCAAACTTCGTAGAGTGTGTGTGTGAGAAGATTGAAGCTGAGATGAAGTCCCTTCGTGAGCAACTCGGCTCGTTGACTCGTGCCGCTTCGGACGTGATGATGCTTGATGACAGCGATGCTGGCAGTGTCAGGCGCAAAATGGCTCGCAACACTGGGCCTGGCAAGCGATGTGCCTCTTGTCTCATGGTCCTCGGTCTCCAGAAGCCTTTGATGGAGGCGTCCATGCGTGCCGCGGTGGCTTCGATCGTCCCTGCGCGCAGCCCACAAGGAGAGGAACCGACTGGTCGTGCCTATACCCTGACTCGTAAGCCCAGTACATTGGTGTGCCCCTCTGCGTTAGGAAAGCTCTGTCGATCGGGAAAGTTCTGTTCACCAGCCCCATTGACCAGGTCCTGAGAGAGTTCAGGGTGCCAAGGGACCTCCCCCCTCTGGGTCAGAAGCGCTTCTACTACCTAAGTCAGTCTCGTGCCATCAGCTCGAAGGTGTTCAGTGGATATGAGGTGGGCAGTAATGGGCTCGGCGGTCAGATTTACGCTCGTCATGGTCCCCAGCACCAGTGGTTTTTGTTATATTGTGGCATCTGAGTCGGGGGCAGCTGAAATCGTCGTCGGCAGCGAGGGTCCAGCAATGTTTGAGACGGGTGAGCATGAGGGTTGCGTCCGCACGTTGTTCTCTCAAAGTCGCCCCTCCTTATGAAGTCCCCTCTTGCCCGAGGCACCCATGTACGAATTCCTTGGATGTTGCATCCTTGTCGTCTGGGGTCCCTGGCGCTTCGGTTTTGGGAACCGCCCTTGGGGCGGGGCCTTGGGGCGGCGTGCCACCTTTGCCACAGGGTGTGGCCCAGTCAGCTTCTCGTCCCAATGTCTCTCCCTGAGGGTCGTTCTCGCCGCCATTGCCATCTGATGGTGCGAATCGGATGTTCGCCCTTGCTCTCCCGCATCTGCCTGTGCGTGGAAAGCGTTAGTTGTTTTATCGTTTTCTCCCAGTGTCTCTGTCCCTGCTCGTCGTCACCATCAACAGCTTCTCAATGTCTGTGGGCAGGTTGATGCGGTACGCTGGCATATTTCATCATCATCATCATCATCATCATCATCATCATCATCATCATCATCATCATCATCATCATCATCATCATGATGGTGTCCGTTTCGACCCACCCCTGGAATGTTTTGCTGAGGAGGCGAGAAGTACAATAAAATTGCTTCAAGGCTTGCTAAACTCAGTTTGCCGCCGAGCTCGGCTCGGCGGGGGACGGTGGGGGGGTCGCGATAATCTGTACCAGATTGGAGCCATATGGTACGGTTGCGGAGCAGGCCGTGCCGCACACGCGAGGGCAGGGGGGCCTTCACGGGCAACCAAAACACAACCTACCGAGCCCACCCGTTTTGGAGGGCCGAGGGGAGCCAGGCCGGGAACGAGGCCCACCGGCGAAAAGGCCCCCCAACAAGCTGGCACGCCCCTGCGGGCTCCGAGGCTCCAAGGAAAATTCCACGATCCCACCCCAAACTGTCGGTGCACATCAACACTCATGCTCTACGATTATTATCCCATGATGGTGTCCGTTTCGACCCACCCCTGGAATGTTTTGCTGAGGAGGCGAGAAGTACAATAAAATTGCTTCAAGGCTTGCTAAACTCAGTTTGCCGCCGAGCTCTTCCCACCTCCGCTTGCGAGCTGTATGTGTCTCAACAGCTTGGTCCTTCACCCGGGGCACAAAATGTGCTCGGACCTTGATGAGTTGAGAAGGAACCTGGAACACAATCAAAATTGAAAGCAAGCCCCCCAGGCCCGCCCTCGCAGTGTGCACCAGAAAACTCCTAAATCTTCGGTGACCACCCTAGACTCCGAACAAAACGAGCTGCAAAACACTCTTAACTGCCATATATACAGCACGAAATAGCCTACGGGCAATGTTGATCCAGGCACCTGGGAGCCTGGCAACTTGAATTTCACGATCAGTCATGGACATGTAGCGTATCTCGGGGAGTGGGAGCCCCTCCAGGGTGGAGTTTATGTGCGCCACGACTGTATCTTTCTCTGAGCTGATGTCGCAGTCGAGGCTGCTCCAGACTGGGTTGCTCCACTGGACCTTGAAGTTTACGATCCGCTCGACCATGTGGACTCCGTAGAACCCGGACGGCAGCAGGTCAAGTGTCATGTGCAGCTCGCGGTATTGACTTGGCCAGATCATCATCTGCCATCTCTCTGACATGTGAGGTATGTTCACCGAAGCTTCAGAGATCGCGGTGGTGACCTGCTCGGCTCCTGGCGGGCGAGGCTCGCCTGTCAGGAACTCGCGCTCGATCCAGGCTTGCAGGATCTCGGGGTCGTCCGCTAGCCGCTCGGCGTGGCGCTGGCGGACGTGCAGGTTGGTAATGTCGACCCCGCGCCAGGCTTCCTGCAGGAGGCTCGCCGAGCTGCGGGACGACGTCACGGCGAAGTCGGACACGCCCTGCGCTGCCGTGATGACTGCCCCGAGGCTGCTGTCGACCACTTTGCCAGCCGAGACTGATACGCTGGCCACGACACCCATCATGGTCCCGAGGTGGGCGAGTGGCCCGGCCATGTAGCTCCACCCGATCAGCATCGCGGCGACCGCCGCCCACGTCACTCCCCGAGTAGTCGAGCGTCCGCACCACCTTGCGATGAGCCAGGCCGCGCGCAACAGCGACCAGCTGTTCCAGCGCGCGCGCCTTTGCCCCGCGGCCGCGCCCGCTGCTAGCGGCTGCGCCACCAGCGGCTGCGGGGGCCTCAGTGCCGCCACGCCTGGGGCCGCCGGCGCTGGCGCCTCGGCCTCGGCCGCGCCCGCGCCCGCCGCTGCATCCCCCGGCTGCTGCGGACCCGCCAGCAGCCCATCCACCAGGGCGCCCAGTGCTGGCGCAGGCGACTGGGCTGGGGCCCGCGGTGCTGGCGAGGCCACCCGGCGGCCCCCCGCCAGCGGCGCTGGAGGGACTCCCTCTGTCGGCAGCACCCAGGCGCCGTCCTGGCCCTTGCGCCAACCCGCTGGCGGCATGCTGGAGGCCCTCCCCCTCGCCGAAGATGCCCTCCGGGAAGTAGTAGGGCAGCTTCTCGGCCGTCTCGCGGATGAGCGGTGCGATACCTCGCTGCTCAGCCTGCACCAGGACCCGGGAGGCGGTGACGACGTCCACGTAGATGCGGAGGCTGGACTCGGTGAGCCCCCGTCCTGCCTCCTTGATGTCCTGGAAGGGGACACCACGAGCCACGGAATCGCTGGCGAAACTTGGCGCGCCGAGTGTGGCGTGCAGTGAATGTCGAGGCCCAGGGCTGCTTCAAACTGCTTGAGCCGATGCCTGTAGTCGACAAGCGAGTAAGGAAAGAGGAGCCCCTCGGGCGGCGTTCCCAAGACTACTCGGTGCAAGAGGTTCTCCAGTACTCCGCCCTGCTCCAGAATAATGGCGAACTGCATCCTCTTGGCCTTTGTCCCCGACTTGGCTCCCAAGTGGATAACCCAATTTGGCTGCAAATCATGTCCCCCTCTCGACGATGGCAAGGATATGTCTTTTGCTCTGAGCTGAAGCATCTCCGACGGGCGCAGGCTGCGGTCCACCTGCAGTAGCAAGCCTACGCCCAGCCGCGGCACGCCCCAGCAGGAGAAATAGATAGCGGCCAGGTTGGCCGGCGCGCGGCCGAGCGGCGGCGCGTGCTTCACCTCGGCCGACACTCGCCATGCGTTAGTCACCGAGTGGGACCAAGTCAGCTTCCTCCTCAGGCGTGGGAAGACAAACTCCACTACCACGACAGCGTACTCGAAACTGCACTTGGTCATCTGCATGTCGTTCTTGTATTCGACAAGCAGGTCGTCCCACTGCTTGGGCCCGTCGGGGACAACACCGTGCTCGTCCAGGTAGGTCACGAACTTCATAGCCGCCGCCCTGTAGGCTGCCAGGGTGTGCGGCTTTACCTTCTCAACAGAAGTGCTGTTCAGCTTCCTCGGCCCCGACATGAGGTAGGCCGCGGAGCTCAGCACGAGTCAGGCACCTCGATATCTTATCAGCAGGCTGCCTGAGCGTCTCCACCCATGGAATCAGAATCTTCGTACGAGATGCCATCCCTGCTGCGGTCTTCTGACGCAACAGGTGGCTCAACATGTGCGCCGGGGACCTCCCCTTGCATACCGCACCCGAGACTGGCTGGTTGTCCTCCAGGATCGGCAGCACGGTGCGGTGTAAAGCAGGAGTGGCGGCCGCCAGTCTGCTGATCTTCACGACGCAGCGCCCCTCGCCCAGCGTGATGTGGTCGGCCGCCCGCCACCTCCCCGCTCCTACGATCGTCCAGTCCTCGTCGGGCTTGAACACTCGATCGGGGAGGAGGCTGAAGGGCTTCGTCCGACGGATGACCTGCTCGGGACGCCGCAATCCCGTAAGCTCGCCGTCCAGTCTCGCCACGGTGTAGCCCAAGTTGCCGCCCGTGTCGATGAAGTCCTTCGCGATGTCCTCGCTCATGTCTGTCACCAGGATGCCCCAACCGCCGTCGTCCTCCACGTTGGCGCCCATGGCGTCCGCCGCGAAATACACGGGGGCTGGCGGGGCTCCCAGGTCGGCGTACATCAGTGGGACTACTCGAGCCATAGCCCGCAGCTCCCTGCGGACGGTCGCCCAGGTGCACACCCTCTGGTGCGGGTGCCTCTCCAGGAGCCTGAAGACGGCGCTGGGTATGCAGAGCAGCTCCCTCCGAAGTAGTGCGCCCCAGATCCACACCCCCAGGAGCGACCGAAGCTCCTCGGTGTGGAGGGAGCGGGTGGCGCCCATCGCCTCCAGCTGCTGCACCAGCTCTCGTGCCCTCTTCGGGGGCAAGCGTAGCTGCGCCGGACGCGCCTGTGGTGCGTAGCCCAGCACCTTCTGCATGTCGCTGGCCTCCGTGCGGTCGGTGACCACGAAGCCGGCCTCGGCCAGGGCATCCGCCAGCTGGTGCATCTTCCCAGAGGCCCGTGGGCCACAGCCGCTGCCACCAGCCATCACCACCCCGTCGTCGACGTGTAGGTAGAAGGCCATCTGCGGCCCATCCAGCACCAACCCCCGACCGCGAAGCACATCCTCGTTCCGCACGGCTACCGCTGGCGTCGTAGTGCTCCGCGAGCTCCAGGCGGTGACCGACCTGTCGGCCTCCGGCGGCCTTCGCCACCCGGTGCCGCCCAAGCCGGTCTGCTCGAAGATGGCCAGGGTCTGAACAATCAAGGAGCCCAGCGTTTCGCACATCTTCTCGGGGTACTGGGCCAGCGGGCTCGTGCGGAAGGTGCCGTCGGCCAGCTTGCCCTCGGCCGTCTCGTGGGCATGGGACCCGTCACACCGCAGCTCGTTCAGGTCCTCCAGCCCCTGCAGCGTGCCGCTCAGGCACGTGGGCTTCTTCGTCCGTCCGCCCAACATGCATTGGTCCAAGCGCGCTCTCCGCGACGAGCGCCTCGTCTCGAAATCCAGCATCTCAGTCGTGTTCCAGATGGATGGGTAGGGCGCATGCCCTGGGTCCTCCGGGTGCTCGATGAGGAAGGCGCCGCCACTCTGGCCGCACGCCTCGCAGAGCGCCAACAAGTTCAGCGTCAAGGTGTTACTCTCCGCGACTCTGGCGGCCTCCCAGTCCCTGAGGCCTGGCAGCCCCCAGGGGCACCGCCGCGAGCGCACCGGCGGCGGACCAGGTCGGCGACGATTGTAGCGTGCCCGCAACCAGGTTGAACAAGGCGGACCGCCCAGTACGATATCCACCCAGCCGCCCTCGCACAGCTCCATCAAGGAGGAGAACGTGGAGGGGTTGGCCAGGTCCCACCGCGGGTCGTCCAGGAGATCGGCGGAAAGGAAGAGCACCCTCAAGCTCCGCTCCTTCGCCAGCCTCTCTACCACCTCCTGCACGTCACCACGCCGCCGACGGCCAGCGAAGAGATGCATCACCACCATCACACGCTCGTCATCTCTCTTCGCCCGCCTCACTGTCTCCAGCCACTCCGCCACGCTGTAGCCCCTCGGGCTAGGCGGCGCAGCCCGGCAGCTGCACTGCTGCCCCAGCCAGTCGTCGTCGTAGCGGTGCTGCTGAGCGTCCTCAGGCTCGGCATCCCCGCGGCTGCCAGCCTCCAGCCCCCCGTCCTCGGGCGGCGAGGTGCGTGGCGCACCGCAGGCCGCGCCGTCGGCGGGAGCCGCGGCGCCCGCGAGCGCCCCCAAGCGTGCGCCTACGCCCAGCAGCGCCCTGCCGATGATCGCCATGTTGACCGTCATGAGCAGGTGCACGGAGTGCGAGCCGCCCATGGCCAGGCGATGGTAGCAGGGGGCTATCCAGCCCGTCGGCCCCATCCTGTCGCGCATACGCTGGCTGAGCTTACCCCACACCCAGCAGGCGCGGATCGGCGGGCATGCCTGCCACCTGGCCATCCAAGCGGGGACGCGGAGGCGGGTGAAGGCGTTGTCCTCGTCGAAAGCAGCCACTCCCCACTCGTCCGTCGGGACACACATGGAGGCGATGGCCGCCCCGCCGTGCATCCCGTGGTCGCCGCGCTGGTGAGGGTCCGCCCACACGTAGTTGCTGGCACACATCATCAGGACCTTCCGCTGCTTAGCGGGCTCCTTCTTAGGTACACAACTAAACCCGCAGTAGGCCTGGACATCGTTGGGGTCCTCGAACGTCCACATGTCCTTCGGCAGATCGGCCCGCATCAGGTAGCGGGCGTACTCGGACGTCGAGCCCCCCACGAAAGCGAAGCGTTCCTCCAGCTCCTCGAAGAGAACCCCGGACTTGCCGCTGTAGTCCAGGACGTTCTGCTCGTCCGAATAGTACTGGCGCTCGCCGTCGGGCAGCGCCTCCAGCAGGTCAACGACCATGTCGTCCGGAGGTTCTGCCACCGCCGCTGCGCACATCATCACGTGCTTGCTCACACCCTTGCGCTCTCCAGTGTAGGCGTCCTGCGGTCCTCTGTCGCAGGCAAGATCCGTCCCTTGACCGCCTGTCGGGGCAAGCCCCCGGCAGTCGCGCTCGTACCGCGCTGCGTCCTGTAACGCATACTGCTGCACGAGCTGCCAGGCCAGCATCATCTCGTTGTCGCTCGCCTCGCGCTGGCCCGTTGGTCTCGCCTCCAGGGATCCGCGGCCCATCCCGTTCATGAGCTCGATGAGCCCACAGGCCCGACGCCACACCCGCATGCGTCGTGCCCAGCGCGTCCTCAACCTGCCTGAAGAGGAAGCTCCTTGTTGTGGCCGATGAGGTAGAGGTATGGGAAAGAACGACCTGGCCTCGGCCTCCTTCCACTGCAAGGCCCGCGTCAGCGAGCCTGACAAACCCGTCACTGGCATTCTAGGCTGCACCCGCGGCGGCGGGGCACCTGCTCGGACCGAGGGCGGGTCGTAAGCCCCTCGGTCCGCCAGTGACCGTCAGGCCTGGGGTTTGCCCCGGCCCGAGGGCTTACCCCCTCGGCCGCGGCCGCGCCCCCCGCCATCGCCACCTCGGCCTCGGCCGCCGCTGGCTACCTCGCTGCCGCCCCCCGCTACACCTCCTTGGCCCCCGCCACGGCCGCCGCCTCGACCCTCGTGCTTGATGGCGGCGTGGACCCTCTCGTCGCGCGGGTGCTCCGCCTGGCTGTGGGTCGTGGCCTCGGTCACCAGCCATGTCGGAGCCAAGTCGGCGGCTGACCCGGGCGGGCGGACAGCCACCATGGCCGCCCCCCCAACCTTGTCCTTCGTCCGCATCTCGTAGACGTAGCTCGCCAGCCGCCTCAGGTGCAGCTCCAGCGCATCGTCGGACGCCAACCGTGTGAGCAGCTCGGACTGGTTCGCGCAACCGCCCAGCAAGTGGTCCACGTTGGTGGCGGCAGTCCACAGGTCGGTCCAGGCCGCCGTGTCTCGCTGGCCCGTCACCTCCTGCGACAGCCAGTCCCGCGCGCTGGCCGCCCCCGCGCCCCGTATGGTGCGGTAGATCTCCGGCGCTGCGCGCCGCAGCTCCGGCGGGAGGCTCAGGTTCCATCGACTGTCCTCCTGATGCTGCTGGGCCTGCGGGGCCACGGCCCACCCAGGGGAGGCGTGCATGCCCCCGCCGTGAGGCGCCGTAGGGGAGGCGACCAGCGCGTCCAGCTCCTGCTGCAACGACTCTCCTGGCGGGGACGTCGTCCCCGCGCCCACGTAGCCGTGAGTCTGCAGCACTCGTCGTAGGTCAGGGTGCAGCCCCCTGGCGCCATCCACATCCGCGATCCTCTCCCAGAAGTGCCAGGCCCAGTCCTCGTTGATGGCCGCCTGCGCCTGGAACTCGCGCAGCGTGGCGCCCACTATCTCCACCTCCCGTCCTAGCTGCACCGCATCTGCAGGAGCGTGGGGAACGTGGAAGCTGAGCCCCGAAGCTGGGACGGCCACCTCTGGTGTCGGCTGTGGCTGCTGCTGCTGCTGCTGCTGCATGGCCGCTGTCTGGCTGGGGGGGCCCGGCACCTCGCACCCCTGGGCGAACGCCCACAGCGCCGACAGGTCCTGCGCGCCAGGCTTCCCCACAGCGGTACCCGCGCCTGCGCCCTCGGCGGGTGGGGCCCACGGCGGAGGCGGCAGTGCTGCAAGCCCCGGCGGGTGCAGCGGGCCCGCAGGTTCCTCCGCGGCCTCGGCGGCGGTCCGGTCCAGGCCGTCCCCGCCGCGCCTCCGCGCCGCGGCGAAGGCCGAACGCCGCCGACAGCGTGTCCACCAGGCGACCACCCGCTCGGGCACCCGCCGTGCCAGCAGGACGGTCCCGACCAGCCCTACAGCCCCGCCAGCCAGGCGGTGTCGCACTGAGTCGGCCCCCAGCACCACCGCCAGGCACGACAGGAAGAGACCTATGCCAAGGTGCAGCACCCAGTCGACGGGCAGCGTGTTCCCGTCGGCCCCCACCGCTCGGGCCCAGATCCGATCCGCGATCGTCTCCCAGCCATCGGCGTCGGCCGCCACTCGTCTGATCCGACCCTCCGTCTGCGTGGCGAAAGTGGCGGCCTCTGTGAACCCCCAGAGGGCCTCGGCCATCGCGGAGCCTGGCACCTCGGGGTTCCCCGACGCCAGGCGGACGGCCACCGGGTCCAGCGCCGCCTCCAGGCGCCGTGCCTCGTCCCGCTTGGAACGGGGGGCTCGCCCTGCGCTCAGCGTCGACCTCACCTTCAGGACGAGCTCGGCGACGTCGTCGTCTGTGACGTCGGCACCCCCGCCCCGCAGCGCCTCGGCCCCCGCCTTCTTGGCGTCTGCAGACACGGCCATCCAGTTCTGCCTGGCGTCCGCCGCGCCGCAGGCCCACAGCGCCCAACCCACCTGCTCGCCGCGGCCTGCTGCTCCTGGGCTGCTCGCCGCGGCCTCGCACAATCTTCGATTCCACGGGTGGAGCCGCTGCTCCCGTCAGGGCGCCATGCCGCGCCCTGCTGCGAGGTGGGCTGGGCGCCCAGACCTCGCGATAATCTGTACCAGATTGGAGCCATATGGTACGGTTGCGGAGCAGGCCGTGCCGCACACGCGAGGGCAGGGGGGCCTTCACGGGCAACCAAAACACAACCTACCGAGCCCACCCGTTTTGGAGGGCCGAGGGGAGCCAGGCCGGGAACGAGGCCCACCGGCGAAAAGGCCCCCCAACAAGCTGGCACGCCCCTGCGGGCTCCGAGGCTCCAAGGAAAATTCCACGATCCCACCCCAAACTGTCGGTGCACATCAACACTCATGCTCTACGATTATTATCCCATCATCATCATCATCATCATCATCATCATCATCATCATCATCATCATCATCATCATCATCATCATCATCACCACCACCATCATCATCATCATCATCATCATCATCACCATCACCATCACCATCACCAACACCATCACCATCATCATTCATCGTCATCAGCATCACCATCAGCATTACCATCACCGCCACCATCATCATTATCATCACCATATTCTAGATATGCGCACATGCGCGCGTGTGCCTGACGTTGGCCGCCTGAAGAGGCGTGAGGGCTCTTGGGGCGGCATTTTCAGGAGCGGCCAGGCGACTTGTGTTTGGCTACTGTCCTGTAAGTTGCTTGCGTCGGCCAACGCGTTTCTTCGCGCGCAGGTAACCCGCAAGTTTACTGCCGCAATTGCGGCGCTAGCGGAGCTGGTTGGAGCCATGGGTTTGGGTTTGGCGGCGACACAGCATGTCCAGTTCAAAACGATCAGATGTGAAGTTGACGGGTTGATCAAGCAGGCCGGAAAACTAACCAGATAATAGTTTCCTGCATTGTCGCGTTGGCGCGAAGGGAGACCGAGCCGGGGCATGAACATGCCCAGTGGCTAGGAGGAAACGTGCTCCGCCCCAACGGTTTGAAACTGCCCACTGCTTGGGAGGAACTGTGCTCCGCCCAGGAAGCGTGCAAACCCTAGTTTCGGAATCCCAGTGGTTCTTCACCTGCCCAGAAAATCAACCCCATGAATGCATTCCATTATCCATCCAATTAGTGCCCAGTGTATGTTTCAGATTTTGCGAACACGAGTCAGTCATTTGTAGTGAGGAGGTGAAAACTCATCATCGCCATCATCATCATCATCATCACCACCTCGTATTAGTTCTCTCTCTTGTCTCCTCATTTTCTCAGTCCTCCCCCTCCGCCTTCCCCCCCTCCCTGTTATACATAGATCGTCCTCCCTTCCTCCTCCCCTTTGGAATGTTCATGGGGTAGGGTCTGGGATTCATGCGGAACCCAATATGGTGGCAACGTCCTGAAGATGCAACCTTGTACGACTAAGTTGTGAGGCGCTCGGCTGTTTCTGGGAGACGGCATGTTGGCTTTCAAGGGCCGCAGTGTGACCAGCAACAGTTCCTTTGATCGCTGCGTGATCCAAGAGCCACACAGGACACAACACGGATGTTCCCCTTGCTGTCGCAACTCGTGAGAATGATGCAAGTGCTACCCATGGTTACCCATGATGACAGGCACGGTGCTCAACTCTTCGAGGCAGGTCTAAGGCCCATACGCTTCATGCGTAGGAGGATGAGGAGAAGGAAGGGAAGAGGAAGGTGGAGGGAAAAGGGGGGGAGGGGGAGGACTAGGAGGAAAGAAGGCAGAATGCAGAAGCACTACAGGAAGCAGGGGAGAAGGTTTTGACAGCAGATGGCAGGGCTTGGCCCTCGGGCCCCGGACACGTTCCGTCCCGTGCGAACTACTCCACCCCTTGGCCTTCAGGCCAGCGCGGCAGTAATGCGGACTGAGAGGGTCCTTTCCCCCCGAGGTCAGGGCGCTGGCGGTGGCGGCGCTGCGCCGATCGGGTGCGCCGGCCGAGGACGGGCGGGGCGTCGCGCGGCGCGGTGCCCCCCCCCATTCCACAACCCCCTGGGGGGTGGGGGGGAGAAGGGCATCGTGACCGCCAACAGCCGCCCACGAGGCGCTGGGGCAAGGGCGGAGTGCTGAGGACAACTGAGCTAGCCCGCTAAGTGCAGAGAGGGGGGGGGCCGCATTCTTTGGGAACTGTGTGAGCTGATGCGACGGACGTTTCTAAGAATGTGTGTGGGTGTCCTCCCGTGGTGCATGCACGGTTCATCCAATGCACACTGTCGTTTCTGTCGTGTGGTCTTGGGTTTGCTTTGTTTTCTGCCACACTTGAGACTCATTGCGTATCTACAAATCGTTGTTTTGTTCTGCGCCATCGTAGTTAAGCGGCAGGTTCGATCTGGTTGCATAGGTTGTGGTTCTCCGTACCCGCCCTCGGTGGCCATTTCGCTCTTCCTCCTTTTCTGTACCCCTCTGCCAAGGAATTCAAGTTAGACCTCACGGATCGACACGGTTCCAGTCGTGAGTTTACGTACTGTTAAGAGAGAGAGGAAGGGGAGGGGCGTTCCCGACAAGCGAAGCGCAGCAGTGAAGACCGGTCCCCCGACAGGGACAGCTTGCGGCGGCCACCAGGTGCGAAACCACCCGTACTGGCACCCAGCTGTCTAGCGAAATAGGATTATATAGTGAGCATGTCTTACCCTGACATTGCGTTGGCGGCAAGGCCTGGATCTCACGCATCCTGCCTTCCCTCTCTTTTCCTGCCTCCTCCTCCTTCCTCCCCTCTCCTGGCAGTTCCTCCTGGAAAGGTGCGAACCCCAGAGGCCCGAGCTCCTGGGTCCAAACCCCTGCCTCCCAGGGCACACGGTCGTTTGCACCCCCCCGAGATGCGACGTCGTGTGCCGCGAGAAAATCACGACCATAGCAGTCGAACCCGTCTTGCTGCGGCATTTTCCGAACTGGGGTGGTGTAGGGCAGTTCCAGGAGGCCCAGTGAAAGAGCCGGCAGTCCCATCCTAGGGTGCCCGGGCCTTCCTTTCCCCGGAACTGTTTCAAACCGCGTTACGATGAGTGATGTTCTAAACACTTTTGGCCAGACACGCCCAAACGACGCGCAATATGTTGAAGTTCAAAATCAGATTGGACCTACGATCTACCTGTGGTTTGTAGCCCAAGTCGAATCCAGAGAGAAACACGTAGCCTATTTGGTTCAAGTTTTGTGTTTGTCAGCAGCGTCCCTGCACTTGCTCCCACAGCACCAACACGCAGTCCATGTTTCAACGCCGCTTGGCAGTAGGTGCTTTGCGCCAACTGCCAAGCTCCACCCTGTTGAAGCGTCCCTGCACCTTCTTCACACCTCAGGCCGAGCACGCAGTCCCCAACGCGAAGTTGCTCGCAGGAGCTGCCGTTGGCGCAGCCGCTGCCGTCGTGGCAGGATTCACGCTGAAGGGCAAGCCCGCAAGTGCTGACGAGGGGAACTCTCTCGCAGCTCTGGAAAAGCGAGTCCGTGATTTAGAGATCGCCAACGGAGAGAAGGTGAGTTCTGCCTTTGTCTTCATTAAGCCACACGCAGTGACGAATGAGGTGAAGAAGCTTGTGACACAGCGCTTCAGCGCAGAGGGCATTGGCATTGTATCCGAGGGTGTCATCAACGCAGAGAAGATCGACCAGGATATGTTGATCGACACACACTATGGTGCGATCGCTTCCCGGGCTATGAAGCAGAAGCCGTCTGAGCTTGCTGTGCAGAAGAAGGCGACGCAGGAATTTGAACAGGCCTTTGGTCTCTCTTGGGACGATGCGCTGAAGAAAGGGCTTGTTTACAACCTGGTGGACGGTGCAGCCAAGTTGGGCTGCAGTCTGGATGAATTGGGCGACAAGTACGACAAGCTGAAAAAGGGGACTACCTTGCTGAAGTTTGGAGGCGGCTTCTACTGTGGCAAGGTCGATGGCATCTACGTCATCAACGGCTTCTATGCAAGGATGCGCTCTCAGTTCACCGTCCCAGGCACGTGCATCTACTTCTATGAGGTCCAGTGGGACCCCAACCGCCTCTGCTGGGCAGACTTCCGGGGCAAGGTCCTCGGTGGCACGGACCCTAAGACGGCGGACGCATCTTCCCTGCGTCATGCCATTTTCAAGACCTGGAAGGACCTCTCCTTGGATCGGAGACGCCTACGGCGAATCACCGCCGCGCCCTGCCTTTTTGGAAGCGCCTATGTGGCCGAACGTTGAGGCCAGACCTGCTAAGCCATCGGACCATGTGTTCCCCGAATCGGTTTGGAAAGCCTTCGGGGAACACGTGGGCATCTTGAAGGTCATCTTGGCCGCCTGGAGGCCATTTTGACCCTTTTCGGGCCTTCTTGAAAAACGTCTTGGAGGGCTCTTGAGCCGATCTTGAGCGTCTTAGAGGCCTCTTGGGCCGTCTTTGGGACCTCTTGGGGCCGTCTTGGGCCCCTTGGGAGATCTTTGGGGGCACATGGGCCGTTTCGGGCCGTCGGAAGGCAGACAAAGAGCAAATGCCACAATCCTTCAAAAACTCTTGGGACATCAATGACTTTGGCCTTTGCGGGCCTTCCTGGAGGCTCTCTTGGAGGCCTCTTGGGCCGTCTTGGGCCATCTTAGGGCCGACTTCGGCCATCTTGGTGGGCTCCTGGCGCGTCCGACTCCGTCGGAAGCCGTTTGGGGGGGCCTCTCTGGGCCGACTTGGGGCCCTCTTGGGGTGCTCCAGGGCCGTCTCAGAGGCCATCTTGGGCGTCTTGGAGGCCTCTTGGGTCGACTTTGTGCCCTCTTGGGGCCGTCTTGGGGGCCTCTTGAGCAGTCCTGAGGCCATCTTGGAGGCCTCTGGGGCGCTGTGGAAGCGATCTTGGGGGCCTCTGGGGCCGTCTTGTGTCGTCGGAAAGCCGAAAAGGAGCAAATACGAACAACCTTCAAAACTACTCCGACGGTAGGACCCCGCATGAAAACCTGTTTAGCTTACCCTTTGCCCTTTCCTCCTCCCCCTTGCGGACATCCTCTCCTCTCGCCCTCAGCACTGCCCTCTCTTCCTCCTTCTATTTCTCCTCCTCCTCCTCCTCCTCCTCCTCCTCCTCCTCCTCCTCCTCCTCCTCCTCTCGCGCCACCTCCTCCTCGTCGTCGCCCTCCCCCATGCCCCTTCCCTCCTCATCCTCCTGCCTCTTCTCCATGTGCACCTCCCGTTCCCCCTGGTCGTGGCAAGCATCTCGATTTTCCTCGGCGCCGTCGCCGCGTCGGCAAGCACGCGCGCGTTTGCCGACGGCTAGATCGCGAAGCCGTCGGGACAACCCTTCGGGCCAGGCCGTTGGGACAACCTCGCAGGCCGCAGGGGCGCGGGAGCCAGCCGTTGGGACAATCCCGCGGGCCTCCAGGTGCGCGCCGCGGCGCTCAGGCGGGTGGCAGCACGAAGCCCAGCTCTGCCGCGAGCTGGTCAGCTGGTCCGCCTCAGCCCTGGAGTCCACCGCTCTTTTGTCGAACTCCTGGAGCGCCTTCCGCAGTGACGCCGGCGGCCCGCGCTCCAGGAACTCTCGCGTGGGCGGCCGCAGGATCAGCATGTTCCGCATGCACGTGGCGCGGGAGAACATGACGTAGAGGTGCAGCCACCAAATATCGTCCGACATGCCCGTGCGGCCAGCGTCCTCACCGTTGGCGCAGTCGATGGCGACGGCCTTGCGCAGCGTATGGCCCTGCGACAGCGTGGAGGTCAGGTAGGACGCATGCGTCAGGGTGAACCCCGAGCGGCGCACTGCGTGTGCCCCCGAGCTTTGCCACGTGAGCTCCTGCTCGCTGGGCCTGAACATGAGCAAGCTCCTCACCCGCGTTTCGGCCTCGGCGTCGTCGGCAGCGCCGTCGGCGCCCTGCTGCAGCACCTCGGCGACCCTTGTAGATCGGGGACTCCTGGAAACCGTGCGCCTGCAGCCAGATTCCCTGCGGTAGGTAGCGGGGGCGGAAGAGCTGGCCCGGCGCGCGTTCCTCGTAGTCCCGCTCGTCGTCTGCGTGCAACTCGAAGGACACGATGGTGGCCCGTTGCTCCTGCACGAGCCCCGACTTCTTCTTCAGCTCCGGATGACCCGCCTCGGATTAAAAACGTGAGGTGCGGGCCCCATAGGGAGAGGCTTCCCGCCTGGGACTTCCCTTCAATTCACTTACAGACGAGGCTCCCGCCTGATACTTCCTCCAGACTCTCGCCACAGGGGCCCAAAAGTGACGACAGTTACACGTTTCGAGTGACCCGCCTCGGATTAGAAACATGGGGTGCGGGTCCCATAGGGAGGGGTTTCCGCTTGAGATTTCCTCGCAATCCATTCACAGACGAAGCTCCCGCCTGATTTTACCTCCAGATTCTCGCCACAGGGGCCCAAAAATGACGACAGTTACGCGTTTCGAGTGACCCGCTTCGAAGCATGAGGTGCGGGCCCCATAGGGAGAGGCTTCCCGCCTGACACTTCGTCGCAATTCACTCACAGACGAGGTTCCTTCTTGATATTTCCTCCAGACTCTCGCCACAGGGGCCCAAAAGTGACGACAGTTACACGTTTCGAGTGACCCGCCAACGTGAGGCGCGGGCCCCATAGGGCGGGTCTCTCGCCTGAGACTTACCGACAATTCACTCACAGACGAGGCTCCCGCCTGATACTACCTCCAGATTCTCGCCACAGGGGCCCAAAAGTGACGACAGTTACACGTTTCGAATGACTCGCCTCGGATTAGAAACGTGAGGTGCGGGCCCCATAATGAGGGGCTTCCGCCGGAGACTTCCTCACAATTCACTCACACACGAGATCCCCGCCTGATGCTACCTCCAGATTCTCGCCACGGGCCCAGAAGTGACGACAGTTACACGTTTCGAATGACCCGTTTCGGATTAGAAACGTGAGGTGCGGGCCCCATAATGAGGGGCTTCCGCCGGAGACTTCCTCACAATTCACTTACACACGAGATCCCCGCCTGATGCTACCTCCAGATTCTCGCCACACGGGCCCAGAAGTGACGACAGTTACACGTTTCGAATGACCCGCCTCGGATTAGAAACGTGAGGTGCGGGCCCCATAGGGAGGGGCTCCCGCCTGAGACCTCCTCACAATTCACTCACAGACGAGGCGCCCGCCTGATACTACCTCCAAATTCAAGCCAGGGAGTGAGTGATGACGAAATGATGAGTGAATGAATGAATATGATGATGCTGATGATGATGATGATGATGATGATGATGATGATGATGATGATGAGTGTGTGATGAATGAGTGATGATGATGCTGATGATGATCAGGATGGCCACTGAGTGGGTGGTCGAGAGATGCTGATGGAGATGGTGACGATGATGTTGAGAGTGGCGGCGGTCCTACCGTCGGAGGACCACTGCCTCCGAAGCCTCCTGAGGATGAGTGAGTAATTGAGTGAGTGAGTGGGTCATCGAGTGGTGATGATGGTGACGATGATGATGATGAGGATTATGATGATGAGTAATGATGAAGGATTATGATGATGCGTAGTGATGGCGGTGATGGTGGTTGATGGTGATGCTGATGGTAATGATGATGAGTGTGTGCGTGTGATGACGATGATGGTGGTTGATGGTGGTGATGATGGTGATGATTGTGAGGGTGTGTGAGAGAGAGGAAAAGGGGGGGTGAGATCCTGCGCGGCGTGTGCAGAGAAAACAAGAGCCCCACTTTGGATGTGGGGAAAAACAAAGGAAAGTCAATGATTTTTGCTTTTTCGGGCCCTCCTGGAGGACCTCTCGGAGGCTTCTTGGGCCGTCGTTGAGGTCTCTTGGGCACCTCTTTGGCCGTCTTGGGCCGTCTTGGAGGTTCCTTGGGCGGACTTGGAGGCATCTCCTCCTCTCCTGGGCCGTCTTGGAGGCCATCTTGGGCGAACTTGGAGGCCATCTTGGGCGAACTTGGAGGCCATCTTGGAGGAGTCTGGGGCAGGAAAAACCTTTTGCAACCACCTCTGGGCAATCCTCCCGGGACCCGGCGGGACGAGCCGAAGGCCCAGGTGGAGTTAGATCTTTTGGAAAAAGAGCCAAAACCAAAACCGAAAGGATCCAGCACGCCAGGCACCCCATCGACAGGGGGCGGCAGATTCGGAGCCCAACACGGGCAACAATGGCCTGCATGCATCTGCCAGCCCATTTGAGGCTCTCGCGGAGCGCGCGAACTGGCTCGGCGCTTCCATCGAGAAGGACTATTTTGGAAAGGCTATGCTAGCGCTTGGCATCCCGGAGGGCACTATCAAGGCCTGGTGTGAAGACCCAGCAGTCCCCTTTGAAGGCAAGCGGCAATCTCTCTTCGACCTCCTCGAGGATCTGGATGGCCGGGACTGTCTCAAGAAGAGTGTGGACATTCTCTCCGGCAAGTGAATGGAGGAGGCTAACTTCTGAAAATTTGGGGAGTTTCATGAAAAAACGCCGGAGGGAAGTCAGGTGCTTTCAGGGTGCTGAAAAGGCATTTTAAAGGACAGGCTAGGGAGGTTAAGCCTCGGTCGCTCGAGCCTCCTCTGCCCGCCCTGGCATTGATTGGACAAAAAGATCTGCAGCTTGTGACTAGCGAGGGGGCTAGCTCTGGCTGCTCCCCGCCATCTTGCAAGTCCAGCTCTCCTCCAAGGCCAAGGCATTGATTAGGGGACACGGTTGCAGTGACGTCAGTTTGTGGGAAGAGTTCGCGAGCATTGGATACAGCATGTTGAACGTGGGGTCTCTGACTGAACATCACCGAGCGGCCTCTTGGAACTTTTTCAATGCTCCTGGGAGCCATTTGGGAACCTTCGGGGGCTTCTTGGCCTGGCAATTCCCCCTCAATGGCCTCCGTGCCTTATGACGGTTTTTGTCCGCAGTCTTGGGGGCCTATTGGGCCATCTTGAGGCCTCTTTACAGGCCATACTGGGAGCCTCTTGGGCCGTCATTGGACCAGACTTGGAGGTCTTTCGGGCCGTTCTGGCTTCGCAGACTCCCGAAGAGCCGAGAACGCGCAACCAATTCAAAACCCTTGCAGGAGATCAATGTTTTTCGCCTCGTGAGGCCCTCTTGGGAGTTCTCTTTGGGCCCTCGTTCGGCGTCTTGGGGGCCTCGTGGGCTGTCTTGAGGCTGAATTTGGGTGTTCGTGAGGCCTCTCTGGCGTGGTGGGGCCTTTCTGGTAAAAGCATATTGAGCATCTTGGCGGCCACGGTGGATGGATTTTGAGGTTCGGATGGCCCCAGAAGTGCGTTGCCGAGCTCGTCCGGGGGTGACCCCCCCCATCTAACGGGACTTTGGACCCCAGGCGGGGTGGAAGGGGTCCCGCAATCGTGCCTGGTTTGTGGGTCAGAGTTCTGGTCTCTTCGGAGCGCTCTCGGGTGCCTCTTGGGGGCAGTTTTGGGGACCTCTTGGGGCCCTCTTGGGGCCTCTTTGGGGCCTCTTGGGGCCTCTTGGGGACCTCTTGAGGGCTCGAAATCACCGTTCGGGTCCCCCGTTTGGGCCCCTCCTAGAGCCGTCTTGGGGGCCTTTTGGGCCGTCTTGTAGGCCTCTTAAGCCGACTCGGTGCCCTCTTGGGCCAATTTGGAACCCTATTGGATGCTTCTTGGGCCGTCCTGGGGACAATTGCGCCATTCGCGGCCTCCCAGGGAGCTGCGAGGTCTCGGGTACTCCCTAACTCCGCCATGCCTCCCAGCGCCATGCCTCCCAGGAGCCCCGGAAAATGGCCGCAATTGCGCAGATCGCACCCCGCCAAGGAGATGCGAGGTCTCGGCTGGGTGCGCGTACTCCGCTACTCCGCCGTGCCTCCCATGAGCACACGAAAGTGGCGACAGTTACACAGTTCGCAGCCCCCAGGGGACTGCGAGGTCTAGTCTGGCTCCGTTTGCGCCCCTACTCCGCCGCGCCTCTTAGAGGCCCACGACAGTGGTGACAGTCGCCAGGTTGCAATCCCCGAGGGAATTGCGAGGTCTAGGCCGGGGCCGGTTACTCATCTACTCCGCCCTCCTTCCCAGGAGCCCACGAACGTGGCGACAGTTGCGCAGTTCGCGGCGCAGGAGGAGGCAGGAAGAGAGGGGGGAGGAGAAGAGGTGTGCGACCGCAGTGCTCCAGTCAAACTGAGAACCCAACGGAGGAGGGCTTGAACACAAAAGTCGCTAGCCCCGTGGCCCTCCTAGTAGCGAAGGAGCTCGGCCCACGGAGGGCTGACAGTTCAGGTTGGCCAACCGGCCGTCTGGGAGGCAAGGGGGGGGCCCGAGGGCCGACAATTTTGAGCTGCGGGGGGGGTATTCGGACTTGTCGAGAGCACACCTTGCCCCCTGGCGCTGGCGTCTCGCAGCCCTGGAAGGGTGAAAACCGACGGGCGATGACGCACTCCCAAGGGACAACGTCGACGGCCCGCGGCGCTGGCGCCGGCGCCAGCGGGCGACGGAAGGCGGCGACGACGATGGCCCTTTACGGATTTTGCAGATGGCATGTAGGACGCAAGCGGCTTGCAGTCCTGAGGGACGAACGCGACGACGACGGACGAAGGCGAAAACGACGATTACGACGATGACGACGACGACAACGACGACGGCGGCGGGGGGAAAAGGGGGAGGGGGGGAAAGGGAAGGAGGGGGAAGGGGGGGAGAGGGGGGAGCGCAGGCGCCTTACAGTAGGGAGTGAAGACATCGACGACGACAACGACGACAACGACAACGACGACGAAGACGACGGCCATTTGCGGATGGAGTGTTGGTTGTGGGTGGGAGGGGGCGGAGTCGGCGCTGCGTACGCGGCTTGCAGTCCCAGGGGGCGATGAAGACAATAACCACGGCGATGACGACGACGACGACGACTGCCTTTTGCAGATTGCATGTGGGGGGTATACGGGGGGGGGGCTGGGGGCGCAGGCGTCTTTCAGTGCAGGGGGACGACGACGACGACGGACAACGACGACGACTTCCCTTTGCAGATGGCACATGGTGTATGTGATTTGCTGGTGATGACGACGCTAACGGAATCTGCGGAGATTCCCATGAGGGCCCGGCCACGCGCGCACGGGGTCCGACCTTTCTCCGGCTCGACGCTGCGCGCGAGGCAGCGACCGCCAAAAGTGTGTGCGTGTGTGAGTGAATGATTGTGTGTGTGTGTGTCTGTTTGTGCTGCGCCGGCGTCTTGTTCTGGGGCGACGACGGACGACGACGACGACGACGACGACGACGACGACGGGATGACAACAGACGGGATGACGGCCAACGCGACGTCCCCCCCAAATCCTCCAGGCGAAAGACCCAGCCGTGTACAATCGTGAGTACCGCGTTGTGGGTACCGCTTTCGGTGGAGCTCCTCATGGAGCCACGCAGCGTGTGAGCGGTGTGCCGTAATGGGTTGGGGAGACGCATGCGAGTTTTGCCACTGGGGCCTTCGGTGGAGCTCCCTATGGGCCACGAAAGCGCTGTAGTGGGTGGGGGAAACGCATTCGGACTTTGCCACTGGGCCTTCGGTGGAGCTCCCTACGGGGCCACGTTGTACTGTGTGGGGGAGAAGCATGCGGCCGCGGCCGCTGGACCTTCGATGGAGCTCCCCATTAAGCCACGAAGCGCTGTACTCGGTAATGGACACGCGTGCGGTCGCGACCAATGGGGGCTTCGGTGGAGCTCCTCAATGGGGCAACGAAGCGTTGTACTCGGTGGAGGAACCGCATGCGCCAGCGGCCTCAGTGGCCTTCGGTAGAACCCCCCTTGGGTCCACGAAGCGCTGTGCTGGGTAGGGGGGAGCTCATGTGAACTTTACCACTGGGGCTTTCGATGAAGCTCCCTCTGGGGCCACGAAGCGCTGTAATGCGTCGGGTGGGGAGGGGACGCATGTGAACGCGGCCACGGTGGCCTTGCCACGAAGCGCGTGAGAGGTGTGTCGAAATGAGGTGGGGCGTCCGCGCGCGACCATGGCCAATGGGACCTTTGGTGGAGCTCCCGGTAGGGTCCACGAAAAATGTGAGGGAGGTGTTGAAATACATGGGGATGCCGCATCCAGACCGCGCTACTGTGATGACCTTCGGTGGAGTTCCCTATGGGGCAACGAAATGTGTGGGGTGCGCGCTGGCATGTATGGGGCGGACGTATCTAGACTGCGCCACTGGAACCTTGGGTGGAGCTCCCTGTGGCATCCCGAAACGTGTGATTGGTCTGCCGAAATGGTTGAGGTGGACGCATGCGGATCGCGCCACTGTCTCCTTCGGTGGGTCTCCTGCGGGGCCACGAAACGTGTGAGGGGTGTGCCGAAATGGGTGCGCTGGACTCATGCGGGCTGCGCCACTTGGACCTTCCGTGGAGCTTCTTGTGGAACCGCGAAGCGTCTGAGGGGTGTGCCGACATGGGTGATGGGGGCGCATGCGAATTGTGCCACTGGGGCCTTCGGTGGAGCTCCTGATGAGGCCACGAAACATGTGAGGGTGTGCGGACATGAGGCGGGGGAACGCATGTGGACTGTGCCACTGTGGCCTGTGCCACTGGGTCCTTCGGTGCAGCTCCCTGTTGGGACACAAAACGTGTAAGGGGCGTACCAGCATGGGTGGGGCAGACGCATGCGGGCTGCTCCACTAGGCCATCAGTGGAGCTCCCTGTGGGGCCACGAATGCGTGAAGGTGACCTGAAATGAATGGGCAGACGCCTGCGGGCTGCGCCACTGGGACCTTTGGTGGAGCTCCCTAGGGGACCACGAAGCGTGTGAGCGTGTGCTGAAATGAATGTGGCGGGTGCATGTGAACCCTGCTGCTGACGCCGTCAGCGGAGCTTCCAATGTGGCCACGACTCGTCTGAGAGGTGTGCCGACATGGGACGGGGGGACGCAGTGGACTGTGCCACTAGGGCCTTCGGTGGAGCTGCCCACGGGGGCACGAAGAGGGTGAGGGGTGTGCCGACATGGGGCGGGGGGGCGCATGTGCATTGTGCTACTGGATCCTTCGGTGAACCTTCCTATGAGGCCATGGAACGTGTGAGGTGTGTTGTGGAAATGGGGCTGGGGAGCGCATGTGCATTGTGCCTCTGACCTTCGATGGAACTTCCCATGGGGCCGCGAGACGTGTGAGGGGTTTGCCGCACTGGGACGGGGCGGCGCATGTGGACTGTGCCACTGGGGCCTTCAGTGGGAAGCGTGTGAGGGTTGTGCCGAACTGGGGCGGGGGAGCTCATGTGGACTGTGCCATTGGGGCCTTCGGTGGAGCTCCCCATGCGGTCACGAAACGTGTGAGGGGTGTGCGGAAATCAGGCGGGGGGG